ATAATGGACCAACTACGCGTACGACCTTTACGACGACTGCCAGATATTACTTGGGCGTGAAATGGTGCAGTTTGGCCTGTACCTTCGATTTTACATTTTTTCAATTATCTCTTCGTTTACATCCCGAAGTTCGTATGTTACCAGCGAAAAGCTCATTTTAGTTAAAGCTGCTATTGCCTCGAGCAAAAGCAGAAGTGCATGAGATGTTAAGAGATAATAGTAATGCCTAGAGAAATTTAGGAAATTCCGGAACTCTTTGGGCCACAACATAATTCGATTTAAATGACAACAATAAATTACTCCTATATATTTGAAGAACTTAGCTTTTTCTCTTTCGATTTCTGATAAGTTCGACGTGTGCCATCTAACGGTAACTCAGGTACTAATTAGTGTTTTTATAGGTAATGAACCGGGCGACCAACATCTCAGAGGAGAGTTACAGCATTGATTTATAGGCGTTACTGTTTTTGCCAAAAGTATTTTAACAACCGAAGATACCGTGTGAAAAGTTCCAGAATTTTCTAAACTTTTCCAGAAATTGCGATCTCATCCTATGAAATCTTACGGGATTTCTGCTTTTACCTGAATGCGACTTTGACTGTTGACACGTACACAAATGTGCCATCGCTTACAGTCGAACATCGAGTTACATATTAGATTTTTACTTACGTCTGATGTTGCCATCGACCCTCGCTATTATCACATTTCGATCAAAAAGTTGTTCAATTATATATCGATGTAACACGACGTGTATGTGGGCGCTGATATAATGAAAAAAGTTCCGGTCGCGCCTCATGCATCTAAATCGCTGCGTGGTTGAAAATGAGACTCGACTACTATATATACGAATCGAATTTCACTCGTCACGAAGAGAGAATATTATCGCTGCGCTCGGCCGTTCCAGCGTCCACGACTTTTATAATCACGCGGACATGCAAAATTTTTAATAACATCCTCTCGGCCGAGAACAAACATAATGATAAAAAAGGAATCGCTATATCTCTCGTCGAGCTTTTAGTTCTTAGCCTCTTGTGCGCCAAATGAACTCGAAGCTCTTTTAAGCGATTTAGCGGTCGACTAAGGATTCCGAAAAAGCCGAAACGATCGTGAAAGAGCTAGACGCCGTTATATACGCGAGCATATATGCGAATGCCATAAACGGCGCGGGAACCGCAAAAACCGCGGGCGCAAGCTCGAGAGAGAGAGAGAGAGAGGGAAAGCTATAAGCTGACGGCTGACTTCAATTAGAGCGCATGCGAGTATACGGTATACACAGCGCATACATAATTGTACATACGGGAGAAAAATCAACAAAGCGCCACGGCCGACGTGTGGCTCGATTTTAATATTTTCATGCGGCCACGTATGTATTTGAAAATACGCCCGAAGTCCACGTTGACACAGATATTAAAAACTTTATATTTTTTATCGAATGTATAATGTCGTGCAGTCGTCGAAATATAATGTACAAAAGGGCCTAATTACTCGTAGGCGTAGCGAGCGAGAGCTGTAATTCGAGAGCTGCTGCCACATCGAGGTAACTGAATTTTCCGCATTACTCCGCCAGAGAGCTCAGAGCGTCGTATCCGAAAGCGTAATAATATGGCATTTCATCTAAATTCTTGGCTGCTGCGCGCGGAGGCACTAAGTGATTTACACAAAGGCGCCGCCTCGCGCGCGCTTGAAATGCGCAACTAGCATATAATGCATTCGAAATAAACTACTAAGTCATTAAAAACTTATTAATAATGTAGACAATGCCGCGCGCGATAACAAATATATATTGTACGCAACGAAGCTAAATATTCACTTTAATGGCACTTGAAGCGACGTATACGTACACAGGAGAGAGAGAGAGTGGGCGCTTTATTGTACTCTCGAGAGTCGCGTTGGCGCGTGGCATTTTCATATCTGACGAACGATCCTCGTGATTTACGTATACGCAGATTTTTGGCCGTTTTACGAAAAATTTCGTTAGTCGGGCATGTAATATATGGCACGCGTGGGTGCGCCGATCGTTAATCGAATTATTGTGTTTTCATTTCCACTTGGTCGACGCCGCTGGGCTCTCGCGAGCTTTAACCCGATTTTACATCGCGTATACACGCGAATTCGTTACATTATTAGCAACTCGTTCGACTTTACGTATTCGCGGCTCCTTTGAACGTGTGTGTGCGTGACAAAAGAAGGTATTTAAAAGCTCTGTGCGCGCGAAGCTTTATATACGCCGATAAAAAGAGAGGGTAAAGGGGACGAGAAGAGAGTTTCGATACGCTTGTAGATCGTACTTTTCCTTCCTTCTTTTTTTGCGACGACGACGACGTATATAAGGGAGATACAGCGAGAGAGAGAGAGATAAAAGCTGCAGTATACGGAATTATAAAGTCGTTGTCGTCGAGATGTGCAAAAAAAAAGGAGAGACTAGAGAGAGAGAAAAAAAAAAGAAATTGCCGCCGTTATGAATAAAGGATATCGCGCGACACGCTCGAGAGAGCATTGAAGATGGCAAAAATTTCAAATACCGTATTGCGATCGCTAATAAGAGACGATGCACATAATTTAATCTCTTGGCGAGCAGCATTTTCGAGGATTATATACCCGTGTATTTTACAACCTGAGTGCACGCGAATTCGCAATATATGCATCATTCACGAGCGCTTAATATTAGATATCAAATAAATTATTTACAAATATTACCCGGGCGAGCGATGATTCGATATAAAGGGTTGTCAATAATGCACGGGGCGGACGAATTGCGTCTACCGGATCTATTATTAACAAGTGCACGATGAAATTGTATCATAAATAAATTAATTACGTAACTGAATACACTCGAAAAATATCATAAATCATTTATGAATAAAGTCGTTTATATTTTTTTATATTTATGGAAGAGCGGATATCCCAGAATCGTTCGTAGCTGTGGGACACGATTGATACATTGCCGCAGATAGGCTCGCAGCCTAAATTCAATCGCGCGCATCAATTAGCGACCTATTGGCGTTCGGTAGTGTGCGATCAATCAAGCCTCGTATTTACAGCCTTGCACGAGGCTCGAAAAATAATCGCTAATCAAAATGCGGCGGAGAGATCGCGATAAAAGTGGCTGATACAAGTGAATGGCGCAATTACGCCTTGATCATACGTATACGCTGCGCACTCGCGATTTTATCGATTTGTTGACAAAGCGATTTTGTAAAAAAAAAGAATATATTTTACGCGTCAAGTTATTTTTTTTTCGCGCGCGCTGCGCTTGATTTTCTTTTTTCTTCACTCCTTTTCTCCCTTTTTTTTTGTATAAAACGCATACCCGAGCAGTATAAAGTGTCGTCATGCGTGCGCGACTGAAAAATTCACGTGCGTTTGAGCATTACCTGGAATAGTGCTAGCAGCTTTTTCACGCGGATCATATTGTGTGTGTGTGTGTGTCTATGCTAGAAAATTCATAAAGCCTTTTGTCGTAAAGGATTTTTTTTAATATTTCAAGCTGTGAAAGTTATCGGAAAAATTACTCCATTTTTTTTTTGCTGAAAAGAGCGTAATGTTTTTATACACGTCTTACTGTCTTGAGAGTCTCGAGGGTCTTTCATTTATCAAAATCGACGTTTTTAGCACACATCTTAAATCCTTAGAAAGAAAATCATCTTTTGCACGCGAAAATGGTAGATTTTCCTTTTTTTATTGCAATTAACTTTTAAGCTTAAATATCATTTCAATCATTTCGTTGCTGTTGTAGCTGAATCACGTCGTGAAAAAAATCATTTAAGCTTTTTTTTCGAAAGTTGTTTGTATACAAGTTTGAGTAACGCATTCAACTGTTTACACTGGGTTGAATTCAATACAGTTTGAAGAGAGAAAAATAACACTTTTGATGCGGAATAATCCATTTGCGATGGAAACAGTTACAGTTTTACAGTTTTACAGTTTAAAAAATGTATTTACAGTTTAATTACGAAGCAAAACATGTTTGTTGTGCTCAACATTGCTCGTGTTACTTCGCTCGCGTAAACGTCAAAAAATTAAAAAAATTTCTTTGAAATGTACGAAAAAATTATATACTTCATAATATAAAACTTTTTTAAATTAAAGTAAGGAATACCAACTTTATTAAAATCATCTACCTAGCATTAATTTTAAAGCTCGGATAAGAAGTGGGTTAAAAAAAAAAAAAAATGAGTCAACGTGAAACAAGGATAAACATCTTTGTTCATCGAGCTTAAGTATATATGCGAACGCGTCGCCACTCACGAAGAGAAAAGCTCATTTATCTTTGTGGTCGACTTCGCCAAGCACCATAATACATACAGATTTTACGCTAATAGTCTCTTGCAGCAAAAGTCACGCGTTGAAGATAAGGCATAGTATGCTCTATACGCATTTTCGTGCCCGTTTCGCTTCTCTCTCTCTTTCTTTTTTCCCTACGACCGCAACGACAATGAGAAATTGTTCCTCGCAGAGAGCCTCGAACGGCAACGAAGAAATATAACGAGTTGGAGTATCAACGGGCTTGTGTTTTGTATACGTTGAAGTACAAACATGTCGAAAAATGATATTAATGTTCTTAGATTTTTGATTACGAGCCGGTCTGCGAAGCGCTAAAATTGACTTATGATGCAAATTGTTTGCGAAACTTGGAAATGTCACGTATTAACTTACAGAACCACGCAATTACAGCAAATATTTCTTCTGAAGTCTCGGGTCTGCGAGCGACCGAGTCAAAACAAGATTTTTTCCACGAAAAGACGATTCTCTGAAAAAAATAAAACAAAATTCTCGATGCGTAATGAGCACGTACACAAGTGGACAGGAGAGGGGAGATGATGCTGCTGCTGCTGCTGCTGCTGCTACTGTTATACTGCGTGCCTGTGTTTACGTGTTGTTTTCACCGAACAATTGAAATAAGATATTGAAAAAAATGTTCGTTGCAAGAATTACGTGATTATTCTATGCATAAAATCAAAAATATATAGCATTGAAGTTAAAATAAGCAAATCAATGAATTAAATTTCGTTCAATTTATTTATTCGTTTAAATAAAATGTAAAATCTGCAACATTTAATAACACCACGTATAAAAACACTTCCAATACACTACGTAAATCGCTGTGTAGAGTTCAGGCCTGTCGCGGCCAGACACAAATTACATATATCATCGTCCTCGAGGTCGTCGAGTATAATGTCGCAGCAGAGAATCGGCAGCCTGTAGTGGGTCAGCGTCAAGAAAAATTCCAACGCCCACTTACGGCACAATCTTCCGACCTCGGGCTTGAACGGCTTCTTGAACATCTCGTGCTTCTTCAACAGCCTCATGAGCGTCAGAGCGTCGCTACGATCCGGCCTGTAGTACTCTCTCTGTAGTCGCTCGACGGTCAGCAGGGCGGCTTGCGCCAGTCTCGTTCGGTAACTGTGCGGGTTTTTCCAGAGCCGCCAGGCCTCGTCGAACTGGGCCTCGCTCGGGAACTCGAAGTAGGACAGATCGGCACCTCGGTCCAGCAGCAGACCCACCGTCTTGGGCAGTAATCTCGCCACGGCCCACTGCAGCGGCGTCCGGTTGGCGTTGTCCCAGGCGTTGGCCTGCACCTTGCGCTCGGCCTCGTCGCATATCTCGTACAGCGTCTCCATCAGACTGTCGCTGTCGTCCTTCTGGCAGATCAGGTGCAGAGGCGTCACGCCGTCTCCGTTCGCCACGTTCGGATCGGCGCCTCTCGCCATCAGCAGTTTCGACACCGACATGCGTCCGTCGGACAGAGCCAGGTGCAGCGGCGTATTGCCGGAGCTGTCCTGAGCGTTCACTCGAACGGATCGTTCGTAATCGTCGTTCATCCTGAAGAACAACCTCAGATGGTCGTCGTTGTTGAATTTCTGGCAAATGATGTGCAGCGGCGTCAGTCCCTCGACGTCGGCCAGATTCGGGTCGCTCATCCTCCTGAGCAGCGGCTCGAAGAGCTTCTTGTTGCCGTAGCGCAGAGCCAAGTGGAAGGGCGTGTTGCCGAGCTTGTCCTGCGCGTCGACCCTCACGTCGTCGATCTCGAGCAGCATCTTGGCGAAGACAGAGGCCTGGTTGGCCTTCCTGCAGACGAGATGCAGAGGCGCCGAGCCGTCGCCGACGGCTAAATTCGGATCGGCGCCGTGTCTCAGCAGCAGCTCGACCACTTTGGAGCATCCGTTCACCAGGGCCATGTGCAGCGGCGGATCGATGACGATGCTGGATTTGTTGTTCCGAGCGAGGCAACAGTCGGGATCCTGGCCGAGCTCGAGGAACTTCTTGACGACGTAGTCGCAGCCCGACTCGCAGGCCACATGAAAATGCGTGTATCCGTTTTCGTCGCTGTAATTCACGTCGAATCTGTCGTATATTACGAAGAGATCGTTGATGAGGTAGTTTCTGTGCATGAAGCCGCGTCGGGCCGCGTGATGCACCGCCGTGACGCGAACGTTGTCGCCATCTTTATCGGCGACTTTGGCCTCGTCCTTGTAGCCGGTCCGGATGAGAAACTTGATGAACGCGGACGCCTTGAACGACGGGTCGAACTCGACGGACTCGGCGAGCAGCAGCTCGATCTCTTCGGGCCGAAATACGTCACGGAGATTGGGAAGTTTTCCCTTCCACGAGCTTATCAAGCCGTGAAATTGTTCGAGAAATGCTTTTCGCTCCTTCGCGACCTCCAACTTAACCTCGTCTCGCATGGTTCGCAATTTTTGCAAACAGTTTCCGTCGCCTTGGGCCATGGTTCTGCGCACGCGACACACTGCCACTTATAACATAAAAAAAGAAATATGTTTCACTGTGAATCACTTGCTGCGGTCCTTGCGATATTTCTTGTGTTCTTCGCATTTACAAGGCACTGATCGATGCACAGTCGCACGAAGCCAGCATGCGGGGGCTTGTGCTCCGTATGGTATATAGTTTCAAGAACTACGCGCGACTACGTCGACGAATAGTTTTATGCTGCCTATCGCGTGTACATATAACAGATATGTAATTGCTTACGTTTGATCGAGCAACCGACTCCGTCTTGTTCAAGCACACATAAACGCACACATACGCGGCACGAGTGAAACACGCGCAGCGGCCGCGGCGAGCGAGGGACAAACGACTGGCGAACTGCTGCCGTGTCATGCGAATTATGCCCCATCTACTTTAACGCGTGTTCACAACGCACTGAGGACACGGCGCCTCGCGCGGCATGACACCGTCACTAGTCTACGTTACCGACGTCAGTAGCGCTGCGCGCCAATTGTCGATTTCAAAATTAATCAATTTCACGTAATCGAGCGGATTCGTGAAAACTATGCGAGTGAATTTTTTTTAACTCTTAAAATCAAGAAGAATGAAAAACAGTTTTTACCTTTTGATAATTATACAAGTAAACTAATTAATTATTGCATGAATAATTCATGCTTAAAATGAACAATAATGGATAGTGACATTATTGTGGTATTGATAATATATTTATAGCAATGCAAAATGAAATTGTTTAAGAAATTTTTTTTAATAAACTATTTTAAGAAATTAATTTTCGTTCGTCTTTTTGTATGTTAAAATTTACGTCTTTGATACGGTTTTCGAAGTATTTTTAATTTGATCAATAATTTGACTAAAATTTATTATTTATTTATTATTTATTTAAACTTTATGAATAATGACTAAAATTAAATAAAAATCGGTCTAATTTTTTGGTAAGGCCTTTTTACGTAGTGATTGCAATTTCTTGAACGCTCCGTACTGCTCGACATTGCAAAAGTAACGAAGTAAAAATCTCCAAGTTTTCAGCATCTCTTCGTAAATACGTCATAAATATGACTTCAACAATTTTTTATAAAAAATAAATGAGGAAAAAACGTCATCTCGTTTGCGAAAGCATACTTTTTGAAATTCTAAATTAAGCGTCCGATTTTCTTATTTCCGAAATTTACATAATATGCAACGTCTTCGTTCGTCGCGCAAGAAGCCGCAGTAATACCCGCCCGCGGTATATCGTCGCATAAAAGAATTTTCGAATTCCACCGCAGGAAGAAGAAACTTTTTTTCTTGCGCTTCCTCGATTTAACTTGAAAAACAGCACTCATCATCTTGATGCAAAAGTTTTTTAACCAAAGTTTTTTTTCGCACCGCAGAAGAAGAGTAAAGGGTGGATCCTTTTAATGAGAAAGTGCACTACGCTGCAGGCAGGGATCAGTCGAGATCGCGTAAAACTTGATGCAGAATCAATCTCGGATTAATGCGCGGACTCTGACTTGAATTATTAGATAACGGATGAGATTTTTAATGGCTTCATTGGCTCGGACGAGTTAGAAATAAAGAAAAAAATATAGACTTTACATAGTTCTGTAATTTTCCAATCGTCATCCTGTCTCGGCGTCACATTCATATATTATATAATCATAGCCTCGGATCCGCAGCGCAAGCAAAAAAAGAGAGCAAAATATCTTTTCATTAGTTAGCGCTCGGCTCCTCTCTCTCTTAACTAAAACGCAGCGGAATTGATTGCTTCTTATTGTGCGCAGCAGCAGCAGACCACTCGCATATTATCGGCTGGTTAGCAGTTGCTTGTATCGCAACTATTGTCTGGCACTGTGCTGCGCGTCGATCGCTCCAAGGGTCAGTTTCGCAATTACTCGCGGCAACGCAGCGCAGACACATACACACACGCATAGCAGCTGCATCGCAGCGTTTAGATCATAGACAACGTCGTCGTAGACGGTGCCGAGTGTTTGAATCGTGCGCCGTACAACGCCTATATATCAATGTGTAAGTAGCGATGCTGCTGCTGCTGCTGCTGCTGCTGCTTCATCACCGAGAGACACACTAGTACTCGCCTAATTAATTTTATCGACCAAGGCCTGTGGCCAGCTCGTATCATATATCTATCGGTCAGAAGTTATAGTGAAATTGAAGTTTATAAAGTAGATGTACCTATATACTCTCGCTCGAGTGTGGGTAACGATGCCTACTCGCAAACGATGGTTGCGCGATTGTCCAAAGATGCAACTATTTCCTGCTTTAATTATAATTTTTTCCCGTGCACAAACGAAATATTAATGGGCTCGTTTGCGAATCTCATTATTAAACGATTCGGCGCTATTTATGCGTAGCATGTTGGTCTAATTAAAAACTCATTTATCATCGAAACGTTTTCGCGTTGCTGTATAATGATTCGGCGAGGAAAAATGCGCCGGCCCGAAAAAAAAAGAAGAGCTCGAGATTCCGAATCAAGAGCAATTAGGAGCTGAAAAATTACGAGATCGCCAAAATCCAATTTGAAGCTGCTGCGAGTGACTATGTATATATACAACACACGACGAATCCTCGAGAGAGACCTTCGATCGATTAAACCTTAATACACTACAACAGCGAACCTTTTTGTTGGCAACTTTTGTTAAAAGCATTTCAAGTCTCAACTTCGCTACTTATATACTTTTTATAATTTTAGCGCGCAGAGCTCCGATTCGCGCGTGAAGTTTTTATTCTTCGGCAGAGTGTACAACTGCAGCTAGTGAAACTGCAGCGCGGCGCACATAGAGATAGCTGCGAGGCATATTGTTACTTTGTTCCAAGTTTAACTCGCGGGGAACTGATTCTTATTGCTGCTTTTCCGCAAATCTCTTCTTCTTTTTCGCGTTTTTTATTTTTATTTTATTTTTTTTCTGAAGCTGCTGTATAGACAGACTTTAATCGCAAACCTACACATGAAAAGCTCACAGCAGCAGTAAGCAGTAAGTACATTGTGGCAAAACATAATCGGATCTCGTGTCTCGACGCAAAAAGAGAAACTCGCTCACGGAAGCTTGTTACTGCGAGATTAATCGTGATTTTTGACGATTCGGCTGTGTGCCTGTGTACCACTACATTCGCAGCTCTTTCATCTCCTTTTACAGTTGCTGCGCGCAAAGGTATTTTGCGTTAAGCGAAAGATAACACAAGTATTACAAGTATACATATTTGCACCGAGAGAATACACGCAGCAGCAGTCGAGTTACGCATAATTACTCAAAGGAGTTTTTAGCCAATTAAATGCAGTTAAAATTTTCACCAGCTCTGGAATCAATTACTACATTAACAGAGTGAATTCTCCCTTACACACACACTTTTCAGCGTATTTGAGAATGATTAATTACAGGAAAATATTTACTCGCGCGTTTGAGTTGTTTTTTTTTACGGAAAATTCAATCCTTCTATACCTGTTTTAATTTGTACGATTACATTCTTACGCTATGGAAATGGTATAAAAGATCAATCGCGCGATATTAAAACGAACATTCACTTAGAAATGCAAAGTTTTCGCAGTAAGGTGCAAACGATATATTTCTTTCTCGCTCGATGTAAAATGATTTTAATACGAACTCCGAGGTATATAAGAGAAAAAAGATAGAGAGAGAGAGAGAGAGAGAGAGAGAGCAAGGGAAAGACAGAGATATAGAGAGAAAGTTCCAGTTTCTCCTATATAGACATCTCGGCAAAATTAATTTCCCAGAAGGAAGATCGATTGTTACAATTTCCGCCGGCTGGAAAATTTTATAAAAAAGATCTCGTTTCTCTCGCAGTGGTACAGTCGCTTTATATATCCGTATACGCCGCGCGCAGACATAATAATAGAATCATCGAGCCAGCCATATCGCGCGGCGATGTAATCACGGAAAATTTCTAAACAATGAGATACTCCGTGCCCAACAGGTAACGATTTATCTTCTCTCCTGCGCGCGTATTAAAGCTCACAGAGCCCCTCGCGTCAAGTAGATATGAAGTTTGCGAGTGGTTTATAGTGGTACACGTCGATATTACGTGTGCCTCGTGATCGTCAAATGCAATTCAGCCGCGTGCATTACGCTTATATACGTACTTATATACATACATGTGTGTTGGTAAATATCGTTAAAGATGCACTAGTTTGCGAAACGAGGCTACACGCGGATAAATGCGCGTGTATAGTGCACCGCTACACGAAGTTCAGAAAGTTGTGTGTCGCGCACGCACAGACACATAGACGTGTGCGCGGGAGGGTCGCGGTACAAGTTTGCGAGTGGCTTGTAATTGATTTTACATGGTGTAAAACGTCGAGCGTAGCGCGCGGGCGGGTCACCTAATTGTTATGACATCGAGGCCAACTTCACGCTTGCATGTACTTACGGGTAACTTGTGACACATATATTTTCTTTTAGCTAAGCGGATAATCGAAAGTGGCAAATCGTGGATGAGCGAAGAAGTTTCACTCGTCACTTCTTCATTTGTGTATTAATAATGAAATATGCATCGAGTAATAAAAAGGTAATGCTTGAATTTAAATTCTTGTTAATTAAAATAGCTCATTTCGCTGCGATACAATTTTTACCTGATCTTTTTGGGAAAATTACGATTGGACGCTAAATGGAAAGCTCGACGCGCGGTATGCATTTTTGCACGAAATCATTAAGCTTTTAATCAAATTTAATCTAAAAAACAATGGAAACTGATGGCCATTTTTGCGCTCGTATAACACACACCTATGTAATTAGTATTTCATCACTTTTTAACGCGCAATTACGAGGCGCGGGACCTTAAAAACGTAAGAAATGTGAATAATTTTGCAAACTCGATTTTAAGCTCGACAGCAGCGGCAGCAGCAGCAGCGGAGCGAGCTTTAAATTTTTAAATTGCCGCGAAGGGTTTAATCGTCTCCCGTGTATGATGATGTAATAAAAGTAACCTGGATAAAGCTGCTGAAGCCGACATCTTTTTAAAGCGGCTCGCATCAATGCTTTCGACCGTTAATGGCTAATTGGACTTTATGAAAATTTGATTAAACTAAAATACGCGTATGCAGTTAATCCAAACCCGTGCGAAGAGGACTTGTCGAAAGCCAAATGTACAAGCTTTTAAATTCATAGAATAAGCGAATTAATGATTCAAAAATGAAATCGAATTCAAAGTGACGCGCGGCGAGCGATAGAGATGTGCAAAATTTACATTCGCTCGACAATAATTACAGTTCAATTGGAAATAAATTGCATTTGCCGACTGCACAACTTTTTCCTTGAATCATGCGTTATGGTTAAAGCGCAACGTTATGTGAACGTATTCGCTGAGGTTATTTCAAATATTACTATTATTTTATTTCTTTCCAATGTGGTCTTCGGATATTGAATATGA